GTGGCGGTAGCTTTTGCTATCGTCGCATTTAATGCGTGACTTAACAGTATTCGTTTCATCATTTTTGGATTTAATTTGTGTGGCAGCTGACGTCGACAGGATCTCCGTCAGTGGACGTCCAAAGATGTCGGAAGCAAGACGTGGTGTGAGTAGCGTCGGCACGCGGTTAATAACTGCGTACAAAATCTTCGGAGTGGACTGCATGCAGCAAGTGGCGCCAAGCTTCTGCGTCACATTGTGCATGAGTCCGTTGGAAGTCTTCAGCAAGTGGCGTGGCGTCACTGTGCGCGAAGATTTCGGGTAGCAGCACGTGGAAAACGACTGTTGCTCGAGCAACCAGGCGCAATGTGTGATTTGCGTCGAAAAAACCGACGGCGAGGAGAGGCGGCATGGCGACTGCACGAAGAAAGCGGGGGTCTACCGTCGTCCCGCCCGGGTGCGGCAGGTGTTGATGCAGGAGGGTGCGTCGTGGACGGTTTTCGGCAGAGCGGCAAAGTGTGGGACAGAAGTTGTTCTTCAAACCACCAAAAAGTTCGGAAAAAGCTTGGGTGACTATTGTTCCTGGCACAATAATAATCGTCGAAAATTTTGGAGCAACAGCAGCCGATTGTGCACTTCAGGCGGCACAGTTCCCTCCGGCCATAGGTACCCGTGTTTGCAGACAGCCCAGTACACCACGGAACAACAATTCGGCGCAGCGTTTAGACCCGCGATTTTCGGGGGTTCTACCGGCTACAATAAACGGAATTGCGACTAATACGGGTCCGGCGAGAGAAACGGGTTCCGACTTCCGGTGGCGAGAAAACGACCTATCGCGACGACTTTTTGCTGAGCGGCGGTGTCAGAGGGAGCTCCCTACCGACCAAAGTCTACCAACGTTTCACGTACCTCACACCAACATCACAAAAACCCTATGCCAAGTTTGGACGAATTTTGATTGCGATTGTCTTCGCGTAAAAAAATCCGGACCCAATTTCGACCGACGGTTGGAGTCATTTGATAGGAGCTCCGACACACATCTCGCGACAAGGCTTGGCTCGGGTCAAGTTCCAAATTGGCACGCGTGCTTTTCCGGAAGACATTCGCGCGCAATCCGTTTTGGTGCAATTTCGTGACCAGATCATTTAAATATAGATTTTAGTTTTGTTTTATTTATGGACTAGAGGATTTCAGAATTACATTCAATATTCCGGTTTACAGCAACCATTATTCAGCATTGTAACAACAAGCAGTTTTAACACCTAGTGAAATAGCCTACTCAATGGTGGGCCCTGCAAGCGCCCATTGGGCAAGAATAACATCTCCAAGGTCGCCATCGTCGATGAGGAACTTGTTCGGGAAGACGAACGCACCCGAGCTGGATCGTGTGGGATGCATCGCTCCACGACGGTAAAGTGTATCATCTGTTTGACCTTGTCACACCATTCGAAGTAGTCCGGCCTGTTTTTTTCCGGCTAGGCCGGAATTCGCTTGCGGCGCTTGTCCTGCAGAAGGGGCCACTCGATCTGCAATGTGGTGTAGGGTTGGGTGGATGGTGTATGAGGGGGGGTTACGGGTATATGCTCCAGCTGAACCAGGTGAAGACGACACATCCTACGTAACCGCAAACGCCTAAGCGACCAGGGATTTAGATGAAGTACAGGCAAGGGGTTTAGGGGATGATGCATGGGTGTAGAGACACATATCTACCTCCTTACCGAAAACAGGCCCCATGCCACCATGCGGCTCTTGAACTTGGTGAACACGACCCCGCTCCTCTTGAAGGAGAGCTTGAACGCATAAGCAAACAAGGGGTTGCTGAAGGGTGTTCCGGTGGCCTTGTCAAAGTGCCAGTTGAGGGCCCACTGTTCTGCATTTTGGAGGGAACGTATGGGTTGGAAAGGGGGTGCAGATAGATCAGGTGGGGGGGTGAGAGACAGGGTCAGAGTACCACGACACGGTTATTTGTAGCTACTGACTGGCTTATGGGCAGGGGGATATGGTGTGTTTGAGACGCACATACCATCTCTGTACTCCGCCAGGAGTTGCTCGTCGTTGAACCACTTCTTTGGGTGTAGCTCAGTGGGCAGGCAATCCACCGCATTGGCGTAATCAAGGAGACCCATGCCGGCGTACGTTGCTGGCCTGAGGGTGGTGTTGATTGTTGACCTGGTTGATGACATCTGGTGGTTGAAGACACCCATGGTTGACTTGTCGTTGTGCAACCACAGCAGCTTCATTGACTCTAGCCCTTTGGCAGACAAGTGGACAGCGAACGCCTCGAACACTTCCTCCGGTGCAGGGTAATACTGAATTTTCTCCGGGGGGTTCAGAAACAGGAGCTGAGAGCACACTAAGTAGGCTTTGTTCTGCGCAGGGGTGTGGGGTTTACAACACGACACGGGGAGAGAGAAACCATCAGTTATGACTGTGGCCGCGTGACCACAGGATGGACTGTGGGAACTTTCCACGTCACACCCTCCACTATCCGCCACGTCACCAGCAACCTGGCCCACGTGCCACGTCACACCCACCCACCCCATGCCACGTCACCCCCCACCCACCTGACACGTGTCGCATCGTCACGCGCCGCTCCCGTGTAACCTTCCAAGCCGCCACGTCAGCCCCAAGCCACACATCCCGCCACGGCACACCCTCCTGCATCTGCCACGTCAGGGAACAACCAGCCCCATGTGCCACGTCACACTCACCCACCCCATGCCACGTCACCCCCCACCCACCTGACACGTGTCGCGTCGCCACGCGCCGCTCCCGTGTAACCTTCCAAGCCGCCACGTCAGCCCCAACCCTCACATCCCGCCACGGCACACCCTCCTGCATCCGCCACGTCAGGGAACAACCAGCCCCACGTGCCACGTCACATCCACCCACCCCATGCCACGTCACCCCCCACCCACCTGACACGTGTCGCCTCGTCCCGCGCCGCTCCCGTGTAACATTCCAAGCCGCCACGTCAGCCCCAAGCCACACATCCCGCCACGGCACACCCTCCTGCATCCGCCACGTCAGGGAACAACCAGCCCCACGTGCCACGTCACACTCACCCACCCCATGCCACGTCACCCCCCACCCACCTGAAACTCCTCGCCCCGTCATGCGCCGCTCCCTTGCATCCGTTCAACACCACCACGTCATATCTCAACCATCACCTTTTTTGCCACGTCACACGCCCTTGCGTCCGCCGCGTACACCAACAACCCACCCTACTGGCCACGTCACACTCAGGTCCGAAAGAGCCACGTCAGCCCCCACCCACCTGTGGAGCCGCGTGTCGTCCTGCACCGCTCCCGCGCACCCTTTCCAACCGCCATGTCATCCCCAACCCTGCCCTGGTTGCCACGTCAACCCCAACCCGCCACATACCGGGAATGGGTTTGTCTCCTGCAGCACAAGCACACGCGCCCTGTCCACGGCACTCATCGGCGGCGGGGTACCAGCCATAGGCACCACTGCAGTCCCCCCGGCATAGCTGGCAGTTGCTCCACGACGCAGGCCGAGCTGAGCAAACATGGCGTACATCTCAGACCGTAGCTGCTGGAACTCGTCTCGTGTAACAAATTGCCCGTGCTCTGCACCTTCGCCCAGCGCATCCATGACATCCGGAAAAGGGTGTGTAGAAACCCCTCTCTGGCCAAGGGGATCAACGTCTCAAGCAGCAGTCCCGTGTGCCCTCACATTATCACACTGGCAGGAAAAGGGAAGCTCAGGGAAGGGATTGGCAGAAGTGCTTGGTTGATGCCCGCGCGATGGACCAGCGAGGGGGGAGACCGCCCTGCCCCGGACAGGAGAAGCGTGTAGTGGCCGAAATGTCAACGGGAGTTGGTTGTTTGCCCCGTCCTCGCTTGGGCGGAGCCGACTTTGTGGTCGGGTGTAGGGGTGCAGCCGACCTGCAGCAGTGGGCGGGCTGGTCGACGAGGTTGGTCGACCTGCACGGGGAGCCACTGCATGGGCGCCGACTTCGGCGCCAACTTCAAGTGGTCGACCTGGGACGTCGACCAGCCCTTCTGGTCGACCTGGGACGTCGACCAACCCCTTCTGGTCGACCTGGTTGGTCGACCAGGCCTTCTGGTCGACCAGGAGTGACGTCGACCTAGATCTGGTCGACCAGGGAGTAGTGGTCGACCTGGGGAGGTCGACTGGAGGTGGCCGTCGACTTGGGAGGTCGACCGGAAGTGGTCGTCGACCTGGGTGGTCGACGGGCACGCACTGGAGCCTCTGGTCGACCTGGTTGCAAGGTCGACCAGGTTACCTGGGTGACGAGGTGCTGCGAAGGCTTGCGATGGTCGCCCAGGTGGTTTTGGCGAGAACGACCTCGGTGATGGTATCCCGAGGTCGACGTGGTGCATCAGATGCAGTCGTCAGCACGAGGTGGACTTGGTGTGTGCGCTGTGCAGGTGACGAAGCAGTGCACGCCAATCATCTACGAGCACCTGCGAAGCGGGTGCGATGCTGGGCTGCAGGAGCAACGCTGGCACGCCGTCGACTTGCGCTGTTGTGACGCCGTCGACCTGCAGCGTTGGCAAGCCGCGTCCTTGCACTGCTGGAGCGCGGTCGACCAAGTCGTGCTGGCACGCGGTCGACCATGCTGCGCTGGCAGTAGACTCCCTTGCATGCTAGCTATGATGTATCATTGTTGTCAACTTTCTCTAGTGAAACTCTTGCCAAATTGCCTTGTGAACTAGCAAGTAGTGTGCGCACTAGGAAAACGACTAAGGACCAACGAACGCAGAGATCACACGAGCATCCGTGCCTAGCCCGTAGTCTAGCTCCCGTTACTAGAGTTATCTCCGCACGAAATGGGTAAGAGGGAGAGGCGAGTGGGGAGTGCGTGACGGGGGCTGGTGGAGGGGATTCGGATTCCTCTCCTGTAGCCGCGCCGGGTGCAGTCGCAGCGACTTTGCTCGGGCCGGAGTATGGCGTGAAGAACCTTGGTGCTCCTGTGGATAGCGGTGCCACACTCGCTCTTCCGGCCCCTTTCGTTAGCTGCATCCGTTGCACGCTTACCGGTGGCCCAATGCCTGTAACACGGGGGGCTGAGAGTCACACGGAGGATGAGCACGGAGATGGTGTCTGTAATGTACATTTGGACACATGCACGCAAACGAGTAACCGCATGATTCTAACATGGGTGTAGCTGGGAACTGTAGTGTATAGTCACGCCTTACCCGGTTTAGCCGATTCGTCAACCTTCTCCTTCCCTGCGGCGGGGAAACACGGGTGGAACACGGTGTTGTTAGGGTCTGTTCATCACAAACCACGGCAGCTATGCCATGCGTTTGTGACACGTTGCTTACCTCGTTGCTGTCCCTTCGGTTTTGCTGCCTGCTCCTTATCGTTGCCCCCTTTCCGCGGTGTGCTTCGGCGGGTGCTGCCTCGTTTACGGGCAGGTTCCTTCTTTGCCGAACCTACAGGTACCCCTTTCGCGCACCCTCCCTTTCCTTCTCCATCGCCTTTAGCTCCCAGCCTCCCTTGCTTCCTTCCATCCCGGGCAGTTTCGACCTTCACTTTACGCGCCTTCGATTTGCCCGCTGGTCCGCCACGCATTGCGTCAACCGCCCCGCGTTTCCGGGATTGACCAGACCGGCCCCCCACCTTCCCTGTGCCACTCCCCCGTCTGCCTCGCGCGCCCCGTCCTTTCCCTGCCGGCTCCTCCTCCTCCTCGTCCCCATCCGCCCCTTCCTCCACCTCCTCTTCCTCCACGTCGTCCTCCTCCTCCTCATCCTCCTCCTCATCCTCCTCCTCCTCCTCTTCCTCCTCCTCCTCCTCCTCCTCCTCCTCCTCCTCCTCCTCCTCCTCCTCCTCCTCCTCCTCCTCATCCTCCTCCTCGTCCTGCCCCTCCTCCTCCTCCTCATTCTTTTCCTCCTGATCCTCGTCGTCCCCCTCATCGTCCTCCTCCTCGTCCTCATCCTCATCCTCATCGTCCTCCTCCTCCTTCTCCTCGTCGCCATCATCCTCCTCCTCCTCCTCATCATCGTCGTCCTCCTGCTCATCCTCGTCCTTTTCTTCCTCCCCTGCATCCTCGTCCTCCTCCTCCGCATCCTCCTCGGCCTCCTCCTCCCCATCCCCCTCGTCCTCAACATCCGCTTCACCAGGGCCTTCTTTGCCGCGCTTCGGCCTCTTCCCCCTCGAGGCTTGCTTGCCCCTCCGTCCGCTAGATGGTTTCCGCGGACCGGGTCGGCCCTTTTGCCGCAAAGCATGATCTGTCGCCAAGCCACTTGGCTCCGTGGTGCCTCGCGTTGTCCCAACTTCAGCACCACCGGCGTCGTCACCGCTGGCTGTCGTCTGCCTCCTCTTTGCGCGTATGGGGATGTCCTCGGCCACGGGGGTGTCATACTCCTCCTCCCCATCGCTCTTCCTCTGCCTACGCCTCCCGCGTCCCCCAGAGGGAGGAGATCCACCGACGTCGGCAATGTCGTGTTTCGGCTCCTCCGTGCAATCGTGCGCAGCATCCTTCTCCTTATCTATCACTGCAGCAGATACTTCGACCACGGGCGGGGGGAGCAGCGTCATATGTTGCTGTGATGCCTCTGCCACGGACACCACAGTTGCGGCCTGGTCGTCGCTGGGAGAGTCGCCGTGCTTTCCTCCAGTCGCCAAGCCCTCTCTGTCCCCCGGCCGGACGGCAACACTCACGCCGCCACGCCCAGGGTCTTCGTTCCCGCCGATGGTGCCGTCGTCGGAAGGACCGGGCTCGAGGGCAGCAGTGGCAACACCCGCATCGCTCTTCACGGCCGAAACACGCTTGCGTGCCGTTGGTTGCTTCCCCTTGTCCTCCGCCTTCTTCCCGGACTTCTTCTTTCCCACCTCGGCCTTTTTCCCCGCCGCACGTTTCCTTTGATTGGTTTGCGCGGCGGCTGCTTTAGTAGCCCTAGATCTGGCCCCGCCCTCTTGGTCGGTCTGAATCGACTTCGAGAAGGTTCTGTTCGGGACGCTTCGCGACCCTCGGAACATTCGCGTAACACCTGGGTTACCTGCCTTGTGTCGAGCCTATATATAGCCTTGTGTTGTACCCAGGTGATCATTCAATTCAAACTCTCTTTTCTGAGCTTGATCCTAGATCCTCACACTTGGTAATCATAGCCCATTTACACGCGAAGTTTTTTCGACCGCTAAAACCCAGTCTTCAAAAACCGCGGGGGCGACGCAGTTAAACATCGATTTCGGGTACGTAAAACCGGTTCCGTGTTTTTTGCTCCCCCTCGATTCGTTTTTTTGGACGCGCTAATGTCAGGCATGGAGGGCCAAGGCGACAACTACGCGACCACGAGCGACATCGCGAGCCTCCGCACCGACATGGAGCAGACGCAGGCGACGCTTCGTCGACTCGAAGCCCTTCTGACAAACCAACCAGGCTTCGCCACCGCAGCAGTAGCGATCGTAGCGAATGCAGCACCGACAACTCCAGCAGCAGTGGCGACACCGACATTTCACGGACCGATGGCACCACTGTCGCCGAACCTCGAAGCAGCACGACCGAGGCTCCCTGAAGCGTTCGATCCAAGCGTGAAGGGATCCGACGTCCGGCGATTCGTGGCCACCCTCGAAATTTACTTCGAGGCCATTGGCTGTTCGACCTTGACATATGACGCAGCAAGAATTCGGCTCGCAGCGACACTGTTACGTGGACCGGCACTCGAGTGGATCTACAACACTGACGTGGCCCGCGGGGAGAAATCGTGGGCGCAGTTTCGGGCAGACCTCATCGATTGAACGTTTCGAACCCATTAATACGACCTACATGGCGCGGCAACAAATTCATCGGCACAAGCAGTACAGTAGTGTAGCACAGTACACGCAGCAGATGGAGCTACTGTTCAACCGCATTCCCGACCTGACCGAAGGCGAAAAAATCCAGGCGTACACAGAAGGGTTAAAATTGGAGATTCGGCGGCAGGTGATCGCGGCGAATTACAACAGCTACAGGGACATCGTGCGTGCAGCCGAGCGATACGACGCGCTGACCCGAGGTCAACCCGAAACACGACGTTTCGCGCCGAACCGTACATTCGGCACGGAGCGATCGTCAACCCCCACGTTTGCCGAACCGATGGATATCGACAAATTTGACGCGAAGCAGCAGTCGGCGAAATGCGAATTTTGCGGCGCAGCAGGGCATCAAATTTTGTCGTGCTACAAAATGAAGAAAGCACGTGCGGCACTCCGGGACGGTAACAGTGGAGCGCCCTCGAAGTCAAAAAACGGCAGTGGCCAGTAGCCGCGGATCGACCTGGCGATCGCGTAAAGATCCGGAAAGCAGGAAAAGGCGACGACGTGGCGACTTCGGAGCGGGTGAAAAAAGGAGAAAATGATGGCGCGAATTTAAAACGTCACGACCGGCCGGCATCAGGGGAAATCGCCGAGGCAAATGGTGACTCCGCTGAAAAAGACTCTGCACCGACCGGGAAACTCCAGCCGAACACCCACGAAAGTAAGAATTTGTTAAAAGTATCCAATAAAGATACTCTAACGAAAAATATTGCTTCTCGTGGTTTTTCAAGCCTTTGAAAAATTCAGGGGAGAATTAGAGGCCAAGAAAAAGCCTTTAGAAATTATTCAGGTACCTGAGAAGTTGGGCAAAGTATTACGGAGCGTAGAAAGGGTCATGCGTTCCGTGGAGTTAATATTCTCTCCCCGCAGCATAGTGTTAAGGCTCCCCGTTGCCCACAGGTGAAGCCTACACAGCTGCAAAGGCTTAGAGGAGACATCCAGGCTCAGGAGAAATTATACAAGCCTCGGAAAAATCCTCCTACCCCCCAGGTGAAGTTGGAAAGTGCTGAGTCAGGTATAGGAAGTAGGGTTAGATTTTATCTTGGGGCGAGATTTTCTGAAGCGGTTCAACCCCGAGATCGATTGGGTCAACAGCAAAGTGTGCATCTACAACAACGGGAAGCGGATAGCACTGCGAAGCTGGACGGATACAGGGGACATTCCTGAAACGACACTGGCACGGTTCGAACAGACGGTGAACGAGAGCAACACGGGTTACCTAGCACTGGTCATGGCAGCAGCAAAAGAGGCGAAACCGGGTTCCGAGCTACCCGCAGCAGTAAAAGAGGTCTTGGAGCAGTACAAAGATATAATGCCCGACGACCTACCTGCAGGCGTACCTCCTGCACGCACCCACGAACACGAGATCGTGGAGGAACCAGGTGCAAAACCCGTCTCACGTGCACCTTACAGACTGAGTCCGACCGAACTGACAGACATGAAAAAACAGATCGAGTATTTACTGGACAGACAACTGATCCGACCATCCACCTCTCCCTACGGTGCACCAGTTCTCTTCACACCAAAACCAGACGGCAGTTTACGGATGTGCATCGACTACCGCGCACTGAACAAACAGACAGTAAAAAACAAATACCCCATACCGCGCATCGACGACTTACTGGACCAACTGCGTGGTGCAACAGTTTTCTCGAAGCTGGATTTACGGTCGGATTACTGGCAGATCAAGATGGCGGACAACTCGATCCACAAGACGGCGTTCCGTACGAGATACGGCTCCTACGAATACTTGGTGATGCCGTTCGGACTCTGCAACGCACCAGCGACGTTCCAGGCAGAGATGAACCACATCCTACGGCCCCTGTTGGACGAGTGCGTAGTAGTGTACCTGGACGATATCCTCATCTACTCCAAGAACATGAAGGAGCACGTGGAGCATCTGCGGAAGGTGTTCGAGATCCTGCGGAAAAAATAGGTTCGACGTAAAGCTGTCAAAGAGCGACTTCGCACTGAAGAAGGTGCAGTTTCTCGGGCACATGGTGAGTGCCAAGGGCGTACACGTGGACCCGCGGAAAATCGAAGCCGTTAAAAAGTGGAAAGTTCCGGAGAACGTGAAGGAGTTGCAGCAGTTCCTCGGCTTCGCCAACTACTACAACAGGTTCGTGCCGCAGTACGCTAAGATAGCAGCGCCACTGACCGACCTACTGAAAAAGGACACGCCCTTCAAATGGGGTACTCCTCATCAGCAAGCCATGGAACAGCTACAGACAGCACTGACCACAGCGCCAGTACTCATCCTACCAGACCCCGAGAAGAACTTCGTAGTTGAAGCAGACGCTAGTGACCAGGCAATCGGAGCAGTACTGATGCAGGATCACGGGAACGGTTTACAGCCTATCGCCTACCTCAGTAAGAAGTTACACGGAGCAGAACTGAACTACCCCATTCACGACAAGGAAGCCTTAGCCATAGTCGTAGCCTTCAAGGCGTGGAGGTGTTACCTAGAGGGAGCCAAGACCACAGTCTATACAGACCACTGCAGTCTCAAATACCTGAAGTCGCAGCCGACGCTCTCACGACGACAGGTGCGGTGGGTGGATTTCTTGGAAACTCACTTCCACTACGACATCGTCTACAAACCCGGGCTCCACAACAAAGCTGACGCGTTGAGCCGCCCCGGTCATGTAGCAGGCATCCAGCTCGACGGGATGAACCCTCTGCTCAAGGGTCTATTCCAACATGGGTACTCCGTGGACGGCGAGATAGCAACGGCAGAGAAACAGAAGCTGTTATAGTGGGAGAAAGACTTAGCAGTAAGGAAGGGTTCAGGAAAGATTTGGGTACCGAACTATGCCCCGCTACGGCAGATCCTACTGGAGGAGTTTCATGACGTACCATACGCGGGACATTTCGGGAGCAACAAAACGTTAGCGGGAATAGCAAAGTATTACTACTGGCCTCGGATGGCAGCAGACGTGCAGCAGTTCGTCACCTCCTGCGACACGTGCCAGCGGATGAAGAGTAGCAAGCAAAAGAAAGCATGGTTACTTCAGCCTCTACTCGTACCGGAGCAGCCATGGCAGTTCGTTAGTCTCGACTTCATCACAGGACTTCCCTCGACCTCACGGGGATACGATACCATCCTCGTAGTTATCGATAAGTTCTCCAAAACGGGTCACTTCATACCGACCAACGCCACAGCTACAGCTGAAGCAACTGCTCGACTCTTCTTCGACCGCATCATCACCATCCATGGCATCCCCGCTACACTCATCTCAGACAGAGACCCAAAATTCACGAGTAAGTTCTGGAAGGAGCTTATGGGACTGTTGGGGACTAAGCTTGCGATGTCTTCAGCATACCATCCCCAGACTGACGGACAGACAGAGCGACTCAATCAGGTGGTTGAACAGTTACTGCGTACAGCTTGCAAGGACGACATCAGCCACTGGGACACATAGTTATCGACCTTAGAGTTCGCTTACAACAACGCCTCGCATGCGGCCACAGGGAAAACTCCTTTCTTCCTGTGTTACGGACGGGAACCACTCACACCACAGCAGCCAACCACACCGGCACACGTCCAAGCCGCACACGACTTCGTCACCACCATGCAGCAGCTATGGGAGAAGACTCAGCGGCGTCTCACCACGATGCAGAACTCCCAGAAGCAGTATGCCGATCACCAACAACGAGATCACTAAGTAGCAGTCGGAGATCAGGTGCTTCTTAACACACGCAACTTGAACCTGTCTCACCTCCCATCCAAACTCCGGCCTCGC